TCGTTGTGAAAGAAATGACAAGTAACTGAAAGGATGCCTTCATTTGCAATTGATGTCCATAAGTCAGTAGTCACACTAACATGTTCTGCTTTCGATAATGCTATGACGAGCTTCTGTTTCACGTTTTCATAATATTCCGGCAGTAATTTCTTTTTCAATATTGTTGTATCAGGAATTTCATATCTACTATCGAGAGCATTTACAAAATCCCGAAATCCTTCATGTTCTCCTTTTCGCAAAGGTTCCATGTCAACAGCAATCATGCGCACGTATTTGTTATCCAAATTTTGCTTTGTTTTCCCATCTGGATATTTACTACTTCTATCAAAATAATTTTTTAGCGTATTTCTCTTTTTTAGGGCTTGGGCCCATTTTCTCATTTTGCTCAGTGGTATCTACGTCTTGAGTAACAGAAACAGTGGATGACCACATCCATACCTCATTATGTTTTCTCTTCATATGATCGATCAAGTTCGTAGTATTTCCACTTAGTTTAAACTCTCTTTTACACAAAGAACACTTGGCAAACTTTTCATTAGTCTTTTTGAAGTAATCCCACGCACGTGACTTACTACTCATGTTTTATTGTTTAATTCTAAATTGTTTGTTACTCCACTCAACTTCAAACATCCACAATAAAAAACTGACTGACTGACTTTTGTCTTGTAAATGAATGATATACGCACGGTAATTCCCCAACCATAGAGAAGAATCTCAATGTCTACGCCTTTGAATGTATGATATACGCACGGTAATTCCCCTACCATAGAGAACAATCTCAATGTCTATACCTTTGTCACTATAGAAGGGGAATAACTTACATACATGCATACCTCGACTCTAGGGATGTAAAAGTAGTACCCGAGTAAACAATCGATCGATAGTTTTAAAAACTATCGATAGTATCGATAGCCATTTACTATCGATACCATCGATAGTTTATCGATGTTTAACGTACACTATTCAGTTGCCTGTCAGAACTTGTATAAGTTGGTAGTGTTTTTTGGTGGGCAAAAACCAGCACAAAAACTTTACCGAAAAGTGATAGTTGCAGTAACAGCAGGTAGGTAAGTAATTTTTTTACAACCGTAAATATATTTAAAATGGATAATATAGACTACTATTTACGCAAAAAATTTCATAAATTCACCTAATATGTTGGTGGGCAAAGTCACACACTTCTTTTTTGAGCATTGTTGACAACATTGCCCACCAATTTATTACCCGTAGGGTTGTCATCTGTAACTTTTTCATTTGCTGTAATTTTTGTTAGTAGCACAAATGAAAGATCTCTGTTCAATTCGTGTTTGGATGACTTTTGATGGCTATTTGATGTTGGAGGTATTTTCTACATATAGTATTCTACGCTTCTGCGTAATTCCGCATTTTGTAACCTTTTTATTATTTGTTTTTATAGTTTCTCAGATATATTGTTTTTGTTTTTATAGGATGAACAGTAATAATAAATCAAATACATGTACAAAAAGAAAAAGAAATAGAAGGAAACTAGGATCCAGAAATTACAAAAACTACTCTAAGGAAATGTTGGATATAGCAGTAGACCTAGTAAAAAAAAATGGTATTTCTAGTAGACAAGCCGAAAAACAATTCTTGATACCACGGAGGACCACAATAAATAAGGCAAAAGAAGTGCACATGAAAACGGTTAGGGGACAAAAACAACTAACAGAAATCGAAGAAGAAAATCTTGTAAATGTTCTGGTAACTGTTAGTGACTATGGTTCTCCAATGACCAAGTTAGACCTGAAAATGCTTGTTTTTAATTATTTTGAAAAAAATTCACGCAGTCATATTTTTAATGGAAAAATGCCCGGAAACACTTGGGTAGAAAATTTTTTAAATAGACATTCATCAAAATTATCAGTTCGAACTACACAAAATATAAAAAAGGTCCGGGCCGAGAAAGGTCTGCTAGAAATGCAAAATTTCTTCGATAATTTACAAGCGACGCTGAAGGATATTCCACCTACATTCTTAACTATGATGAGACTAATTTGTCTGATAACCCGAGTAATTTAAAATGCATTTTTAGAAGGGGCATAAAATATCCCGAAAGAATTTTAAACAGTTCTAAGAGTTGTGTTTCGATTATGTTTACGGTGTCTGCAGCTGGTGACTGTCTTCCAACATAAGTAGTATATAAAGCTACAAATCTATATTCCGAATGGGTTGACGGAGGTCCTGATGGAACTCGTTATAATTGCACGAAATCGGGTTGGTTTGACTCTGCCTGTTTTGAGGATTATTTTAGAATAATTATACTAAAGTGGGCAAAGAATCTATCAGGACCAAAAGTCATAATAGGTGACAATTTGTCTAGTCACCTAAATATCGAAGTTGTGGAGCTATGCCAAAAATATGATATTAGGTTTGTGTTTCTTCCACCTAACTCCACACATCTGACTCAACATCTAGATGTAGCGTTTTAAGAGAATGGAGGAAGGTACTCACAAAGTACAAAATTCAAAATCCGGAACAGTCAACTATTAATAAAAATCACTTTCCTAAACTCTTGAACGAATTATTAAAAAATATTAATCTCAGAGAAAGTAATAATATTAAAAGTGGATTTAGAGCCGCGGGAATATGGCCAGTTAATGCCCGAAATGTTTTGAAACGAATACCTGAGTATTTTGACGAAGAAGTGTACAGAATAGATGCCGCTTTATTAGATTACCTACAAAAAACAAGGTGTTCTAAACCAATGGCAGTGAAAAGGAGTAAGAAATTACGTACAGAACCAGTCAAGTCAGTTTGTGCCGGCGATATTTTAATAAAAACAACTAGTAACAAAAGTGTTCAAAATAAGAAATCCAAAAGATTTGAAAACTATCAGGATAATTTTAATGATATATAAAACAGCAGGCAAGATTGTGAGATAATTATATTAGAAGAAGTGACTACTGAAAGAGACATAGAAGAAAATGAGCTCGTATTGGATGATAAAATAGGATTTTTTAAAAAAACACACCTGAACATATTGAAACTACCCAGAAGATACAACATGAAGGTATAGTTTTTCCGTCCAATAAATCTAACGAAATGCCTTCGACGTCACATGAAAATGTTTATAGAAATAATTCACAAATATTCCTATGGTCAAATATATCCCATGTGCTTTATAATCCAGATAGTCTCAGTAAAATCTGTATAACAGTTATAAATAATAATATGATTTCCTTAATAAATTACACTACTCCTCTATCACCAAATGATGTGCATTTATTAAGCAAAAATCGAAAAAGGTGACAAAGAGAACTTGCCATTTATAGTGATAAATGATAATGATTTGCCACCATGTTTGCAATCAACAAATCAAACAAATGTTACAATAACTTCCAATGTAAAATTAGACTGTAAGACTGTAAGAAAAACACAGAAAAACTTAAGGATCCAAATAGATGGTGGTGCTAAAGTTATTACGCAATCAGCACTGAAAATGAAATTATTTACAAGGGATAAAATCATTGAGTTATACAAGACTAGAGGAGCAAACCACATTGCCGCGCGTCGAATAAAGTGTAACCACTATCCAAATGCGACGACGTAGCTTTGAAATCATTAAAATTTTTAAGTAAACATATATCTGTCTCACTTACACAAGTCGCGGAAAACAATATCGTCCCTAAGATTAGATAAAGATAGACACACAAACATGCAGTGGCGGGTTGGTGTTGCATACCTTATGAAATTTTACCCAAAATGAGCAATATAAAGGAGTTTTTTTTTTAAAGTTGCAGTAAATTGTTTTTATTTTAAATTTATATATTTTCTTATTAGATGAACAGAAGTAAGCATAAGTAATGAAATAAAATATGTTTTTATATATTATTTTTATTGTACTAATAAATCAAACAAAAAATAAAGCAAATAAAAAAAAACAATTTTAGGTTTCTTAAGCGAGATCTGTGTTGAATATGCATAAGTTGTGAAATCATCACCAAGTTTTTGTCTCTTAAATTTAGTCTCATGACATTAGCTACAAAAACTTTGGTTATCAATAAATTTCGTTGATTTTCTTGTTTATAGAATTTCTAAACTACTTAACAACTTTAAAAAGTTTTTATATTTTTTTTGCAACAATACTGAGGATAGTTAATGGATTCAGGCGTGACTCTGCGGAAGTCTATTTGTAAGATAATATATATGGTTTTAATCTGTAATACTAATCCGCTTAAATATTCATAATAGTCCATGCTCTCAAACTCCGCTATGAAGCATCAGTTTGTTATATAATTGCCTTTTGGATTCTTTTTTGTGTGTTTGAGTGTATAATTTACTTTCGTGGTACAATCTTATTTTTAAGTACTTATAAATAATGGCATTAATCAATAAAAGGGAATGATCACCTTGTATTGCATTGCGTGCTGCATCTTTAGGTACACTGCAAATTTATTAATATAATATAAAATAATAAAATATAATGAATAGACCATTCATGAATAAACTAAAATAAGAATAATTATTTTGTATAAAGGTTGAAACATAGTTTTTATTTTTAAGCAATCAATTTTACTTGTTTATTTTAAAACAAAATTAACTTATTCCATAAATTATACAGTCTCCCATTAATGTGGAAAAATCACAAAGGCGGAAAAGTGGCAACATTGAACCTAAATTGCAATATTCGATATTTTATTTAATTTTTTAGTGTTTTAAACGTTAATATGAATATATAAATTAAAACTTACGTATGGAAAGTGATTCCGCTTGATTTATTATGTTTTTGTGACCTTGAAACGCATTCTTTCACTACGCATTTACCCATTTTTTGTTGTGAATCGTTCGGCTTAACTCGGACGGCGTCACCTTGAACACTGAACCGACGTTCGCTGAGTATAAGGCTGTGGCCTTATGTGAAGTGACAACGCTTTGGCGCGGAAATTACTTATCTAGTGTAACATATAAATCAATGGATAAAATGAATAAAATAAACAATGATTCAAGCGTAACGGACAAAAAATAATGAATACATAAATATGCAAAAAGAAGAAAATACAACACGAAAACGAAAAAGTATGACTAGAACCACATGCGTAAAGCGTGAAAAAAGGAGTAAAATTAATAAAATCAAAACAAAATCAAGGAAAACAACATCTGTGAATAAGAAGAAATTTAAAAAAAAATTTAATGAATCAAGCTCTGAAATTTCCGACTTTCAATTGAGTATAGCAGAATCAGATGATTCGGAATATAAAACATTAAATGACTACATAAAAATCTGTTTACAAGATCAGTCGGAAAAAGAAAACTTGGAGCCGGAAATCCCGTTTGGGATCAGTGATATTGAGTATTTCACAGGCAATGTTGATAATTTAAACGAAGGTGACTGGCTCATAGCTAAATTTGCTACGAAAAAAAGCTTCAAGCACTTTGTTGGACGGATTTTATTTATTAGAAATAATATCCCTACAATAGAATTTCTAAGGAAAGTTAAAAATACTGCAAATAGCAAAAGATTAACCTTTACGTATCCACCTGTCAAAGATATTTATGAAATGCATCACGTAGATGACGTTGTTCTCGTCTTACCGCAATCAACAATTACTAGAAGGGGCCAAGTTATGTTCGAAGTTGATTTTTCTAGTTATAATATACAATAAACTTATTATAAAATATTAAATTACTAGCTGTTCCCCGCAACTTCGCCTGCGTGGATTATTTTCCGCGAAACTCTAAAATAAAAGTAGCCTAAGTTGGTCCTTATAACATCAGTTATCCGCCAGTGAAAGTCTTATCTAAATCGGATCTCTGGTTTTTGCGTGATGCGTGTCCAAACAGATGTTGTGTTAGAGTTTTAGTATAGTATAGAAGAATAGATAAATAGATGTTGTAAACTAAAGTTATTTTGTTAAGTGCAAAACTTACCTTTTTTTTATAGGATAGGGTGACAAACGAGCACACAGTCCACCTGATGGTAAGTGGTTGCTGTGGCCCATAGACATCTACATCTATCCTCGATTACAAATCAAAATGCAGATGCGTTGTCACCCGTGAGGACTAAGATGGAATGCCTCGTTTCCAGTAAAAAGGGTCTCCGGTTCTCTACACTCACCATACGAAATACAGCAGCATTAAGCTACTATTTCACGCTGGTATTCTGTGAGAGCGTGGTCCTTCCCCGGTCGAGCCGACCCATTCGTGCTACAGCTATACTACTAATATAACTGCAGCATGGCTCTACCACGTAAAAAATGTACCTGTTAAATTGTTATGTTATTATTATAATATAATGCAAATTCAGTCTGAAGTAAAATAAGAAACTCTTTGTTTATCTATGCTTAAGTTTTACTTGATCTCAATTGTAACAATTGTTCCTATAAGACTGAGAATATTTTGTATAATAATTAAAACATTAAGAATAGCTGCTATTATATTTACGTAATTAAAATACTAATTATAGATGACATATTTGATTTGTTTATGTAATCATCTTTTAAAAATCCCTTAGGTGTTTTTGATATTATGTTACATTGAAGATTATTATCTTTAAGCTGGACCTATAATATAAGCTAGTTTGATTATAGTCGCAAGTAAAATTATTGGGTACACACTACACCTATGTTTAAGTGTTCCTTGATTTCGATTTTAAATCGAAATCTAAAAATACCCAAAGAACCTGTGCTCAATAATATAAGTTTAGGTATTTTTAGTTTATTCTATTACATGTTGTACTTTTATTCCTTTTATACTTTATTGTTAATCGCTACATAACTCAAACAAACAGTATATGTAGGTACACCGTTGTTCTTTATTTTTTATCCATTATGATTGCACTTTTTGAATTTATTATGTCAATAAATATTTTATATATAAAAAGTTTTCATTTATTATTGGAATGAAGCATTTTTAATGGTGACAGCCCTTAGACGTTGATCGTTATTGTAAGAAAAATGTTCTAGGTGGGTTTTTGACTTTGCCCACTCAATTTTAAAGGACAATGAATATGACTATTAAACTGATATTTTAATATAATACTGCATTGCTCTATATTTATGTTTAGCTATTTTAAGATTTTTGATACGGTTTATAATATCGGAAATATTTAAAGTTGGCAAAGTTGCCAAAAATCTATGAATTTTTGCCCACCACATATGAATGTGCTTTTTACAAATATACATACAAATTTCTGGACATTTTAAGAAATAAATATCGAGACATGAACTTAAAGTACTGTGTGGTACAAATATGGTATGAAACATATAACGGGTTTTCAAAATAACTCAAAAAATGCAAGAATATTCTCATTTTTAGGGCAAAGTTGGCATGTTTTACGGTATTTAAATTAGGTTACGTTCCCCGGTTAAAACTAACATCGTGTCCTGGAGGAAAATAGCTACTTACGATTTGACAGCGTTTACCGCTTACGATCGCCATTTTGCTTACAAGCGCTTGCTAGCGCTTTTTTCTGCCAAACGCACCCATTGCTTTATGAAACACAATACTTTTTAATTTATAGCTGCTCTGGAATCTTGCATTTTAAGCTACTTTATGTAAATCAATCAGGATAGTGTGGCCGACAAAAAATTAAGCGTTATTAATAATAATTCTAATGATAGGTATAAAGGAAATACTAAAAAGGAAATCATATTCTATTAAGCAAGTTATTGTCATATGTTATTGCATTTATTAACTACATTCAAAAATAGCGTCATCATCATCATCATTACAACCCTTCACAAGTCTCCTGCTGAATATAGGCCTCCTCAAGGTAGGCCACAAAGCAGGGTCCTGAGCCGCACATCGACTTCCTGCATGTCTTACCAGTTCGTCACTCCATCTAGTGGTAGTCTCCCTACAATTAGCCTACCAGTACAAGGCTGCCACTCGAGAACATTTTGCCCCCATCAGTGGTCGGTTCATCGAGATATATGGCCGGCACATTGCCACTTCAACTTACTAATCCATTTTTCTATGTCGTTAACTCTGGTTCTAATGCGGATATCCTCATTTCTAAGTTTATCACGCAGAGAAACCCCAAGCATAGCCCTCTCCGTGGCTCGCTGAGTGACTTTGAGCGTCTTCATTCGGTCAGCACTGAAGGACCATGTCTCAATTTCGTAGGTCATCACTGGCAAATGCACTGGTTGTACAGTCTCGTTTTCAGGTTTTGAGGTATACCTGATGAGAAGACATGTCGTGATTTCCCGAACGCTACCCAGCCGAGTTGAGTCCGTCAAATGACCTCTCAGCTGAAGTTGGAACTACCTAGTGAGACTATTTGTCCCAGGTAAACATACTCGTCAACAACTTTGAGCTTAGTGCCCCCAAACAACTAGGTACCGTCATAGGTGTGATATGGACGTTACACATGATCTTTGTTTTGTCCATGTTCATTTTAAGACCTATCCGTTGAGAGACATTATTGAGGTTATTGAGCATAATGCTTAGGTCCTCCAGTGATTCTGCCATAAGGACTATAGCGTCGGAAAATCGAAGGTGCGTGATGTACTCGCCATTGATGTTAGGTTAGGTTAGTATCCTTTCCAGCCCAGTAGCTTGAAAACGTCTTCCAATGCAGCGGTGAAGAAAAGACATTTTGGTGTTACTAAATTAATTAATTTTGTCTTCAAAAATAATAATAAAACATCCCTTCATAGTTCTAAATTCAAGTTAATTTATACTTGCTACATACATGAGGTTTATATTATAAGGAGTAATAGTAAATATAATAATAAAAAATAGAAGTTTAAAATTTGTTTCATTAGGCAACACTGAATCAAAGTTTAAGAAATATGTCCGCCGGGTTGTGCATGTCCTTATTTCTTGTTATTTCGTATTTTTGAGTGTTTTATCGTAATTTCTTTTGTATAGCACAAAACATAGGGCTCAAGAATGTGCTTTAAGGTAAATTTTGTAATTGGTGCAGTGACAAATATAATAAAAGACTTAAATAATATGTTAATTTCAATCAAATCAAATATTTATGTTGGTTTGTAGTAAGTTACGTTCTACATTATGTGCAGACAACATGGAATTTTATAACATTTCACGTTTTGGTGTTATTTTATTTTTAAAATATCATCTTGTTTAAAATTGTGAAATAAATATGTTAACAATACTGAAAATCTTTCTTTTTGCTAAGTCTACTATTTATTGAGAGTATTTACGCCGATATCTAATTAACAAACAGTGTTTTTATTGTTATTTAGAAATCGACAAAATACTTAAAAATAAATAACTACTACTAATATATAATACTTAAAAGTATATATATATATATATATATATATATATATATATATATATATATATATTGTAATATTAGTTATGTATAGTTGAAGTAGTAATAAACTAGCTTCCAGGCGGCGCTGTTGTTGCGGCCAATTTTTACGTTATACCCTATTCCAATTACGAAGTCCCATTTGACAGATGTCAATAATCAAGTACTAGTAAAGTACCGCTATAGTTGATACTTGACGATATTGATCTTCGATTACTATAACGTACAAATTAAAATCGTATTGACAGAAAAAGGATTAGCATCAAATTAAAATTTATAACACTGTTTTTTAATTTTAATTAGATAATATTACATTATATTTTTATCAAGATGGAACATATTCATCATCACTAGCCGAAATCGATATTTCACGGTCGGCATCGTCGTCATCACCCGCATCATCAGTAGCGAAGCTTCTATAAAAGCCGAAAAGCCGGGCTTGCCTTATTAAAACTGAATCAATCAATAATATCAACTAATAAAATAACTCATAAACTGATTTCTTAAATTTACGCGAACACTACACATTGAATAAAACTAAATTTACGGATTTTATCGCGTTTATTTCACTACTTTTACTTATTTTTAATTCCCGACGTTTCGGGTACTTTACAGCAACCATGGTCACGGGGGGGACTGAGATGTTTGACGTCCCAATGTCATAGTTAGTCCGGCTACCTTCAGTTTTTTGAATATTAATTTTTGGTCCGATTTACGCAAAACGAGCTTATAGTATCATGAAGTCTTGCAGTGGTATGCTTAGGTTTGGGTTTAATTTTGTTAATTATAGGATCCCAAGCAGGTGGCAGCACCCATCCATCTTCTCTATTGAAATTTGGATGTTTTTTAATTTCAATAGCCTCGCGTATCATCCTTGGTAGGAATCGGTGTTCTTTTGCGAGAATTTGTGGTTTATCAAAACGAATGTAATGGTGGGGACGATCTTGAACATGATCGCAGACTGCAGACTTCCCGGAGCGTTGGTGCTTCACGTCAGCTATATGTTCTTTCACGCGGGTTTTTATGGATCTTTTTGTTTGACCTATGTAAGAGAGACCACATTCACAATCTAACTTGTACACTCCTGCATCTTGTAGAGGGATATTACACTTTACGGATGGTAAAAATTGACTAATCTTCTTCGGCGGCTTGTAGTATGTTTTAATAGAAGCTCGCTTCAAGATGTAGCCAACCTTGTCTGTGACTCCTCTAACATATGGTAGTACAGCAGGTACACGCTCGACTGTGGCCGGCTTCACTCGGTCACTGTGACGTAGGCGCGGGACCCGAAGCTTGTTGTCTTGCAATACTTGCTTGACGTGCTGAAGTTCGGCGGCCAGATGTTTTCTGTCACAGATCCCTCGTGCTCTCTGAAACAAA